CTCCATGTTGAGGTCGAGAGTTTCTCATCGACCTCAAATTCGACCTTCAACCTCTTGGCGCCGAATACGGGGCATTCGTTCAGGACATGTTCGAGCGTCTGGGGAGCACGTGCATCTAGGGTCGTCGCAGCATCTGAACCGATGGAGGTACGCGGCGTTCCCGCCGTGACCAAACCACGCCTGAGTCAGCCAATTTTCCCGATAACTCGGTACGCCTGGCGTATGTCCGGAAAAATCAGTTTGGTGATGCTACCTTTCGCGGACGCGGAATATTCCTCTTACCAGGCGCCCAGGGTTCGTTGGCTTATCACCCGTCTGGCGTACGAAAGAGGGAATCTATCGTAGTCTGCAGCCGTTTTCTTATAGAGGGCAGCATGTTTGGCAAGCTCGTCCGCGCGCTCGCTGCCGACAGTGCCGACGTGAGCGCGCACCCACCAGAGCTTGACGCTGCTACCCTGCTTGGCTGCCCGCGATAGACTAGACCTGACCTCGTTTACCAGAGGGTGCGTGGATCGCGGGTTCGCTATCGCGTCCAGAGAGAAGCGTTAGTCGCTCAAGATGTCGCACTCCCTGTAGCGAGGATCCTCCATCGACAGCCTAATCGTTTGGCGAAGTGCGAGCAACTCCGACTGGTACACGGTGCAGAATGGTTCCAGTCGGTATTTCTTGCTCAATACTTCACGCCCGTCTTGCCAGCAGGTGAATGTGCAGCCGACCTTACCCTCGATCTTGCTGCCGTTCCGTTACTGACTTCAGACGCTGCACGAGGTAGCTCCTAGAAGTGCCGCCGGCCCATGAACTGGCCGCGTACAATAGAATAGGCTCCATGGCTCCGGTGTACGAGTGTCTGACGATCTCCGGGTTTAGGCCCCAAGACGCTTTCACGGCTCGCGCTGGACCCTTGTACATCGTAGCTGCCATTGAGCAGACCCACTGGATATGGTCCCGTTGCCCTTACCAGGTCATCTGTCCATCTAGTAGGGGGCCGTACCACTGAACGTCTTCCAGTTCGTAGTCTCCATTCGAGAACCTTTCTACCCCAACGGCCGTCAGTTCTACGACTTATGTGCCCTGCCCACTGCCACTTTAACTTGCTAATCCTTTGAGTTATGTCGGGATCATTCGTTCTATGAATCTCCTCATTTATGATACGAGCACGTAGATAATTATTTAATTATATAAATATTAAATTTTTCTATTTAATACTTATGTATTTCCTACAAACTATATTAATTGTTAGCACTGAACTACATAATCATACTACATGTAGACAGTTCATCGATAGCTCATTAAAATGGAAGGAAAATTAAAACGTCCGGTTATTGTTCGGCTCAGAGCCGCAGTAAAACGCTCCAATACCCGGAGTATAGAAGGCACAGTGATGTACCCACGGGATTATCTTGTCACAATAGTTAACAATGTTGTTCAGAACGTACAGACAACCGATATTTATCCGGATACTAACATTGACAGTTAAATTTAACGCTTAAGGAACACGGTGGTTAATTACCAAGATGCCAAGAACCATAAACTAACAACAAATAAATATGTTACACTAAAAACAAGATTTTTCTTAAGAGCCGATACCTACTACCTCAGCTATAATTCGATTTTATCCCGTACCAATATGGTTCATTTTGCTCGGGTCGAGCGGCAGGACCACGGCTTTATTTCAGAATTTATTCGTTTTACACATTGACTTACAATTATATGGACGTCGGGTCCGCGCTAAAAAGTGTCCGCACTTTTAAGGCGCTAAAATCGTATACAGAGCGCGACACTCCGCTTTAGTCTTCATTTGTTCTACGGACAGCGCGATACTGCGATGACATTACAATTTAAATTTCGAATAGGTTGACTTGGGACATTTTTTTCGTGGTTTTTGTATTAGACCCGTCGTCCATTTATTTGTAAGTCAATGGTTTTACAAGCGAAATTAAAATTATTTCAAAAATGTAATTCGTATAGAATACGTGATCTATTTAGTTCTTTTGATATAAAAAAATCATTGATATCTATGAAGTGCCTATTGAAAGAAAGAAAGAAACGTTTATTCAGCTTAAGAGAATTCAAGAAGAAGAAGAATTCAATTCAAAATAGATAATTCACATTAATGATTACATTTAACCTGAAACGGATCCAACTCAGCATAATGTTACAGCTCGCCTGCTGTAACACTGGTTTTCAGTTGGAACCGCTTTTACAAAATGAGATGGCACGTAAGTACAAGTGTGGTAAACACTAAAATTATAAAATGTAACTTAAATATTAAATAAAAACAAGTAGAAAAATTACTAATAGAAACTATTATATGACTTGAAAGTATATACAATGTTATACTTGTCAGGGATTATTGCATGAATTAAATGTACATGAAATACAGTACTTCATCATCATCATATCAGCCGGAAGAGTCCACTGCTGAACAAAGAATACAGCAGTTTTATTGTAAAATTTCGATGTAAGTTTGTGTTTTTTTCTATCGTGAAAATTTTTAGGAATTGTGTTTTCGCATCATATAGTAATCAGTGTATGTCCTCAATTTTACTATATATTTTTTCATTTATTGTTATGCTGAATCAACCAAAACCATTTGAGGTTGTATAGACCCTTAATTAAAATAGTATAATAATTAATATAATAAGAGGCTAGGCTACATCCTTAGGTTGGAATATACCCTAGATTCACTGTCACTGAGTCACTGCATTTTATCGACACAGAATCGCATTAAAAAGGTCAGAAAAATCTTTCCATATAATAAGAACGAAAATGATGTTGTGCGTCAGACGTGTATTCGAGCATAAAAATGAAAATGTCTTTATTATCTTTCACACAAGAAACAGTACGTTTATGTACGCGGAAACGTCTTGCGCCGGTCAGAAAGGGTGAGAGTCTGGTGCTCTATAACACAGGTTAATCCTAGTATAGACTCTAGACTTTCACAAATAAGGACTTTACGTATATAAGTATAATATTCCTATAATCCTTGGCAGTGACCCGTTTAGCTCATTCAGGTATTCTCACATGTCCACCTTTTTTTTAGCTTAGCATAGATATAAAGGTTTTTCTACTCAAGACGATTTCGTGTAAATAAATGTGGTGAGTCCCTTACATGGCGTACGGCACAGCAGTGGAATTCCCTGCCTGCAGAGTTGTTCCTGGATGCTAAAACTTGGGTCTTTTTAAGGCGAGTATGGGTAGGCACTATATAGGTTTGAGTGCTCCATTGTCGACCTCATGGTCACTTTCTGTCAGGTGAGATGGAGATCAAATGCCAACTTATTTTATCTATAAAATTGTAACTTTTTTATTTAGAAAACGACTTCAAAGGTTTATTTATCGCTTTTTTATTAGAATTACATCTATTTACCAAGTTTTATTGAAATCGGTTATCGGAAAGTGCGCGAAACCGGATTCATCCCTTAGTTTGCCATCCTTAAAGGTGAAATATTTTCTTTAATTTTTAATGGGACCACTACTGAGGTACCCTCTTTCCAACAAAGAAGAATCATCATAATTGGTTCACGAATTCCGGAGCAATCGCGAAACATAGATACAAAAAATATACTACTCTAAAATATACTGTCGTGTGCCTTTTTTAAGTTGATTACATACAGTACAATTGAGAACCTCCTTTTTCCGTTTTCGTCCTCCTCCTTTTTTAAATTGGTTAAATACAGTCGAATTGAGAACCTCCTCCTTTTTTCGTTTTCGTCGTCCTCCTTCTTTAAGTCGGTTAAATACAGCCGAATTGAAAACCACCTCCTTTTTCGTTTTTGTTCTCCTCCTTTTTTAAGTCGGTTAAAAACAGTCGAATTGAGAACCTCCTCCTTTTTTCGTTTTTGTTCTCCTCCTTTTTTAAATTTGGTTGAAAAAACAAATCGCGATTTAGATCCGAAAAAAATATAGTTTCATTTCCAAATAGTAGCATTTGCTAAAATCTAAGTACTCGATAATTGTTTCTTTCCCCTGAAATATTGCTATTTGTAGAACCCTTTTCGATTGCGAGGCATTTCAAAGCGAGCCGTGTTTTTAGGTGAAGTGTGAGGAGTCGCCCCCACTAAAATAAGAACAGGCGGAGAAGAACAGATCCGACATCGACAAGCGCCCGCTGGCGACTGACGACACAACAGACGGTGGGCTGCGTGTCTTTAAACCGCCGGGCAATTAACAAATTTCGGGATAAATGTGAATTTAATCACTAATATGGTTTCAGGGTTTCAGAAAACCAAAATATCTCCATGTAAAAATTATGTACAAAATTCTTATATAATTCGTTTTTATATTTAATTTAGCCTGTTTTCAGGATTTTCTATGATCGGATAAAGCACATCCTATTATGTAACACATTAGCCCATTCTTTAGACAATATATTATTTGTAATACCGTTATTTAACAGTAAATATCTGTTTAAATATTTACTATTATTTGATCCAGCAAAACAGGTTTTCCCGTTTCTCCTGCAATGGCTCGCCTTAAATGTTATATTAAACATTACCTGAACACAGTATCAGCAATTTTTTTTAAATAGCGCCGTTGATTCAAGCACCTAGGCCGTCAGTTTAACGGCTGGTTAAACCGTTTGGTTTCGACGTAGACATAATATTTCCACGTTATGAAACATTTCAATGAATTGCGGGCAGACTTTTGTGTATTTAGGTCATGTTAAGGAAGAAAATATTACCATAAAACTATACTACGTCGCTATAAATATAAAAGAAAAAGCGTATATACCAAACTGTTGATACAAAGGCGTCGTTTGCATTTGAGCGAAAATTTCAACAAGAAACATTTACGCAGTCGGTTAGCGTGTCTAACATATTAGAGGCAAACTTCAAACTAATCAAGAACACAGTCCTCGCGTTATTCGTGTACGATGTACGTAATTTATTAGCGTTTATTCCCATATAGCAATCTGCAGGGATGCTGTTCCATTACGCAGACTCCGTTGAGAGCCCAGTTTCAGTCAGCTTCGAGAGAGGGGACGCAACGGACGTGCCCGGCCGTTCCCGACGGGCTGTACAGTTTCGCAACTACATCGCTTTGGATAATCAGTGGCGTGTGGCGACCAACGTTCGCGGTTTATCTGTGTGCACGTCCAGACTAAATTTGTTCACCAGTGGCCAAAACTACGGATTTACCCAGTGTTCAGTTCAGAGCTATGGGAATTACGTGAAACTTCCTCACTTATAAGTGGTAAGTTTATACTGAAACGAGAACAGGCTTCGTAATTTAGGACATTAATTAAAGAGTATTTACAAAGTTTCTAAATTTACTTCCAAGCGGTGATTTTGTGGGATGTAAATATCTATTTGTTAAGCCCCCTTCTAAAGGGACAGGTGAAACAAGTCCTCTATAAATTCAGATGGAGTCCGCCCGTAAACTTTTGTGAACTTTTCCGCCACCGATATCCGGCGGACTTGGGAGTTTTTAGATTGATTGGAATTTAGCTCCGTGGGAGAATTTAATTATTCGCTTTGGAATTCAACGGATGCTATCAAACAATAACGGATTTCCATTGTGCTCGAAAACTCTGGAACAAAATTCAACTTCAAATTTGGAAATCTACCCGTCGGCAACTGTTTTCGAGTTATAACAGTTGATGTCACTACGGCTAATTAATTATAATTCAAATGCTTTCACTTTGGTAGCAATGTGAATTGATGGCATATCGTCACTTGAATTTAGGGGGAAAACTTTGGTTCTCTGTCACTGAGAATTAATTAGAAGCGTTATTAATCTTAGATGTATACCATACGCAAAGTTCAGGGGAAAGTCCACGTTTACTCTTTTGCATTCTGTCAGTACCTATTTCCCAAACTTTACTGAGATTAAAATTTACTACGAACTTCGTTTAACAACATTCTTGATAAAGTATTGTAACCCAACTAATTCACAACAACAACAACCTGCTACGTAATCTTTATTTTGAAACGTATAATCAGGACTGTTCTGTATTCAAGTTACGGACTAAATAGTGCAACATAAAGGCTGACTACATTTCAACTGGTTTTCCAGCTAGTGAAAATTAGACAACATTACATACATTGCATTATACCGACTGTACCATGTACACACAGATATGTGACAACATACAAAAGTTAGTTTTTCTACATTGATACGACCGGGGATCGAACCCAGAACCTCAGAGATGGCGACATCATGAAAACCAGTGTGCCAGCCACTCGACCAGGGAGATCGCCAAAACTAAACAATGTTAACGTAAAGACAATATTATTAACTGGAAAACTGTTTTATCATCTTTGCAAAATGTACTCCAAGTGTCATATTTGTATGAGAAATCAGTTTTTTTTTTGAGCAAATTTAATTTTTTACCCAATGTCTAAAAGTCTTCAAGATTCACCTAGACTATTTAAACATACTATAAGAAATTATTACTAATATTTACCTCGTTAATTAGTTAGTTACAGCGTGTACGTTATGTTTATATTCCATCAGCTACACTCGAGAGCTATTAATTAGGAAAACTAACAAAGTTAAAATCAGTAATAAACGAGGATCGAGATTTTGAACTTTATGTATAATTATAGCATTATTAATACAAAGATCGGACACTTAGAAAAACTTCCTTCGATCAATTCGAACCAGCGTCTTTTAGCAAACCGTGCTAGACGCTGTGACCAAAAAAGCTTATATTGTGCTTGTTGCAGAACTCTGCTTTTTGGTTTTTAACGACTTTTTACCGTAGCGCCATCTGTGAGAAATCTATATCTTCATGTATATGTATGTGAATGTTAACAAAATTAATAACGTGTCATTAAATAAATAAATACCAAATAATAATAAAACTTTAAGTATCTTAAATTGTGGAAAAATAAAAATGAAATTAAAACTCTTAAGTTTAAAGAAATTATTGTAATTATGCTATTGACAATTAGGGCCACAAAAAATTAACTTCCAGCTAAAAAAATGTAGTATATTTGTAAAAAAAATTAAGACTGAAACGAAAATTTACCATTTTTTAAAATTTCTTCTAAGTTCCAAAATATCGTATTTTCTTTTTTATTATTAAAATATAATTGAGCATTTGACTTCCATCTCAAATCTCTGGGAAAGTGATGATGAGGTCGACAATGGAGTATGCACACCTGTTCAATAACGCCTATTCAACATCTTTTTATACATATTTTTAGCTATTAAATAAATAAATGTCAGACAACATCGCATACATTGCCGTAATCCCAAAGTAAGTAGCTAAAGCGCTTGTGTTATGGAAATCGGAAACAAAGACGGCACCACAAACACCCAGACCCGAGACAGAATAGAAAAGTGAGTTTTCTACACTACCGGCCAGGGATCGAACCCGGGACCTCAGAGATGGCGACGCCATGAAAACTGGTGTGCAAGCCACTCGACCACAGACGCCGTCCGTATACGTAGCGATAGAGCTCTTTGTATTACCTATTTCTGCCGCCAAGCAGCAATTAACATTACGTTTTGAAGAGGGGTGCCTGGTGATAGTACACGTACATGAGATTCGTCAACCTATATAGGCGTAGTGGCAGTGTCCTCAAATCTTTGCGATTTAATGGAACTTTAACGGACAAGCGTTACACTTAACACCACCAGGCACCTTACTAGTCCGACTAGTAACTTGGTATCGTAAAAAAAAACCTGTCGTCTTAAATATGTGAAGATCCAAACGCATAACCCGCGGGTGTAATACTAAAATTAGTTCATTCTGAAAACATCACTCAATGAGCCTGCGTTCCTTTCCTTCCGTCTAGAATCTAAATATACATTTTTACGCTCGTGTTTTAGTGTACTGTGGACGAGTGTATATTAACAAAAGTTCATTTGTTTTGCGGTTTGTTTACGTTACTAGTCCTGTTATGGTTTGATTTATAGTGTTGTATATTTTATTCATTAGCCGTTAAATATATAAACAGATCTTTTGAAGTCGGTCATAAAGCAATATATTCGTAAAACAAACATAAAAAGAATATAAAGTTTTATTTTGCCTGTAATAAAAATTGAAAAAACATAAATAGACCAAATATATCACGTCAATCAATCTTCAGCTACTCCTTGAGTAGGCCAATTCACCCGGTCTTGTGCCGCCCGCATCCAACCGCTGCCGGCTACCTTTCTCTTGTCGTCCGTCCATCGTGTCACCACTCTAGAACAAGTCTGTTCCATCGGCCATCCGACATCCTGCCAACATGTCCGGCTCGCTATAACTTAAGTTTAAAGATTTTGCGAGCTAGGCATTTTAGTTTTTTTGTTTTTGTTTTTGAGAATGTCAAATGACGGGACGAACAAGTCGTGCGCCTGGTGGTAAGCTACACACCTGTCCAGAACAGTTACAGTCCCACTCATAGCTTTAAATCGCAAAGATCTGAGGGGCACTACCACTGCGCCCGTCACCCTGAGACATAACTTGACAAGTCTATGAACCTGTGATTTCACCAGCACCCTTATCCTTCAAAACTGGAACACAGTAATGGTTGGCGGCAGAAATAGGTAAGCTGGCAGTATTTCCCTGGACGAAGGACCTAGTCTTTCACAAGGAGTTCTACAGCCAATAAAAAAGTTTCGTTCTCTGACGTATGAGTTCATTAGCGACTCGATCCATCAGAGAAACTATAAATATAGCTCGCTCCATCGCATGTTCAATTATTTAATAAATTAATATACATTGATTAAGCAAATTTTGTCAACTTGTTAATTGACAAAATAATTAGCTAACATAATTATATTGCCCATTAAGTTGTCATCTAAAATTAATTACGCTCTAATTATTTAAGCTTAGCGGGAAAAGTCATGTGGACGTGGCAAAATAACGAAATATCTATTCGTCTCAACATATTTCTTCCCCTCTATTTTATAGTAGATGAAGGAGGAAAGGACGAGCGAGAAACATCGATCTTGTAATTAGAATGTTATGTAAAGTCTTTAAAATACGCTCAGTTGCACAAACGGCTATTAAGTTTAATTCTTTAGGCCGAGTAAAATTTTCTTTTGATAAAATAAAGCCTGTATAGCATCATGCTTGTCCCCCATAGATACTGTTATTGTTTTAAACTAATTATTTTTCATGAACGTTTCTGCACCTGGCTGAAGTATACAAAGAAAACACGGCACGTCGCTTGTGTATTCAATACACTTTATAAAACTATACCTAAAGCTCATTTTATTGCGTCTCTTTGAACCGTGTCGTAGCGTTCAAATAACAAAAATTTAAAGAAACCGCCGATACAAAACAGTGTACTTCAACAAGTTAATAAATTAAGTCACCATCTGCAGGCTAACAAACATTCGAGACCAATTTATATTGGGCACGGTAATTTTACTGTAAATAGTTCAGGAGTTGAGTCTGAAGACCGTCCTGGTTGTAGCATTAGATCAAATTTCAAGTCTATCGGAGAAGTGGCAGTAGTCGTAGTAGAAAGAGATCGTCCAGGGAAGTACTGCCACCTTACCTGTTTCCGCCGCCAATTATGTGAGCATTTATGTGAACGTTAATGCGTTTCGATTTTGAAGGGTAAGGGTGCTGGTAAAATTACAGGCACATGGAACTTGTCAACTTATGTCTCAGGGTGACAGGCGCAGTAGCAGTGCGCCTAAGATCTTTTCTCTAGAAAAAGAAGAAAAAGTGGCAGTACAATAAATATTCATCTTATTACAGAGATCCCTATACCAACTAGGATAAGATCTGATGAGCTTTAAACAACTGAACAGATGTTCCTCAAACATAGCCAAGAAGCATCCAGTTTAAATTAATCTTTTATTAACAAAACCCCTTTAACATCAGTCTAACCGTTTGCGAGCTACGATACCACAGACAGACTTACATGTAAGATCGTATGAAAGAAAGTAAACTATTAAAAACTTATTTAAATAGTTTATTTCAATGAAATTTAAAAAAACAAAAGAGAGACACACGTACATGCGTAGATATGCGCATGGCGCATCATTGCATTACAAGCAAGAAGCTTATATACTCCACCGGAGTTTACACTTCGATTTTCGTGTAGTTGCTTCATTTCAACAATTAACTGAAATTAACAAACAAAACTAAAATTAAAACTACCTCTCATCAAAATGCGCGATACATACGCGCGACTACAGCGCGTCTGCGGCGCTTATATGCGCAAATGACGCGCCTCAAACGCGCGTCGTCAGCACATATAAAATTCGCCGTGTGCATAGACTCTTACAGCTATAATCGTCTT